GGAATTTCTGAGAGTATATACATCAAAGGAGAGCTCTATGACAGAGACAAAGCAAAATTATTATTATTAATATATATATATATATATATATATATATATATATATATATATATATATACACACATTGATTCTTTCTTTTTCTGTATACACACACGTGTTTGTGAGCTTGCAATAGTTAGCAGAGTTTCCTGAAAATAGATCTGTGATAATCTCAGACTACATTGTTTATTAGAGTGCATTTAATTAATAAATATGCCGCTCATCGTGACAATACCATTACTCCATATATATTTTTGGACTATTGTCGTGATCTTTCTTATATTTTCAGAAAGTTCTTCAGAAAAACAATTGAACATAACAAGTTCCTATTTTATTCCACAGATTACAACTTTTTCTCTTTCCTATATCACAATGACCTGCTACAGTTGTTTACTAACTGAAACAATATAACTCTTCTAGGACATGTATAGCTTCAACTTCTCTGAAAAAGCCCTGAAACTATGAAATTGTTTCCTTGTTTTTTAATATACATATATTTTATTACTGTAAACATTATTTTCATTGCTATTTTGAGTTACTATCCACTTTTTTTTCTTAATGTGTAAAATTAATAACAATGGGCCTAGATCAAGAAGTTTTAGTAAAGAAAAATTGTGCCTCTTAGAGATATTGAACCAGTATCTCTTTTACCCATCTCGAAAAAACCACTTTATTTTTATTTATTTTTTTTAGCTAAAATGTCCTGCTACTAGTTTGGCAACAAAAAAATATTGGATAAAAAGATCCTTTCAAAAATTACTGTTATTTCCATTTCAGGCATGAAACTGTAGTTAGCAGATATAGATTTATAGATGTTCTAACAAGAGACGCACTTTTCTTAAATGGGTATTCAAATCTTGTTCCTATCAGGCTGGTCTCCATGGTCAAACTGGTAGTGGCCTGCTTTGGCTAAAAAAAGGTTTCCCTGATGGAAAGAAGAAATACAGTCTCGATTCCTGAGGCACAGTTTTCATTAGTAGGACTTTTCAATTTATCAAATATGTGATGGGGCCTACGAAGACAAAACATGTTGGTGGGGCCTCCAAGAGAAATTTTTCAAGGTGGTACAAGATGACTTTGGGGCTTCAAAACAGGCAAAGATTTTGCTCATGAGTAGACTGGGTGGAGTTTAAATAGGAGAGGTGAAAGAGGAAAAAGCAAACATGGTTGAGAAGCAATTGATTGAAAGTGAAATTATAAATCAGCAGTAATTATTTTCTGGCTTCATTAAGTGAATCATATATTTATGAACTGATGAGGAAAAACAATAAACAAGGGAAATATTTATGTAAAATCAACAAAAAAAAAGATACAAAATCTGAACAGCTCACAAATAAATTTTATAATCCCCAGCAATTACATGATGGAAATCACTTCAAACTTTATACGTCAAAATAGTTTGCCCACCTCTCTCTCTCTCTCTCACACACACACACACACATATATATATATATATATATATATATATATATATATATATATATATATGGTGGACTCTCCCATCATATTTGATGTATGAGGATCAAGCAGCTCAGTTCCAAGGAACCGACAGCCAGACACCAGCATATATGATTTGATTATATTGGTGGAGGCTTTGTGCAGAATCAACCAGACATTTTGGAGGGTCAAATACAGAGACATGGTGCACTATGTACCACAAGGTCCCCAAATGACACTCCACAGGTTTTGAATTCAGAGTTGTCCTTCTCCTAGACTATCTGCCCTCCAAGGCTATAGAACCCAGTCTGTCTCACTATTTACCCACAGCTAGAGGGGAAAAAGAGCATTAATACCTTTTCCAAGGCTATTGGCACGTACGTGAATGTAATGGATTTGACTGGAATTCGAACTTGGCTCTCCAATTCTTCAGTCCGACCCACTACTCCACCATGTCTTCTCATATATATATATATATATATATATATATATGTTTGTATGTTTTTGCTGTGTTGTCAGACATGACTAACTATGAATGTGTTAGCATGCATTCTGTGTTCATTCCCAGCCAACATTTTATTAAAGTAAGTGGTTGGTTCTTATTCAGTTCTTTTCATTATTTATGACATCAAAAATTTTATGTAGTTTAATGATTGATTTTATTTCTTATTGATTATTTTTTTCAATCGCTTTTTACAGGATTTTCTTAATGCTTTATTTATTCATTCTTATTAATGCAATCAATTAGGAAACCTATTAAGAAATTAAATAAAGCCAAAATCAGTTCACTTCAAACACAAAACTAGAAACAAAAAAGATCACACAGACATATATGAAAAAAAAATGTAATCTTGGTGCTGGAGTTTGTAAATTACTTATGCTTTTAAATTTTTTAAATGAAATTTTCCTGCGATACAGATAAAAAAAAGTTTTTAAATTATTAAACTTAACTGTTTCCTTTACATATGTGTGTAGTGATGAAACTTTTCTGGGTGGTTTGAGTACCAAATTTTGGGTGGGTAGATGAGTTTGGAATACTAATGTAAGGATTCAAACAGAATTTTAAACTGAGGTCATCTTTTTTTTCTTTTTTTTTTTTTTTAGTTCAATTTAGAATTTATCAAATATAGTTATCCTTCAGCAAATACAGAATATAATCATTTGAGAGACTCCATCCTGCCTTCTGTTCACATGGCTGATGCTAACCTTCAGCTGAATGAGTCATTGTGCCTTCTCAGGCTAACATTCTCGGCTGACATAAAATGGAAAGACTATATTGAATCCATTTATACTATTTACATTGTTCGCCTGTTGTCCTTTGACACATGGCCCAGTTGATAAAAGCATTGGTTGAAGTATTCCAAAAGTGACTTGACCCAAAGAGTTGTCAGTTCAATATCTGGCTACAGCAGAGGTGAACAAAGACTGTTGAGTTATTAAAGGAAATTAAATGAAGCTGAGATATCCAGAAAAGGCATGGAACTATAGCAAACTACTCCTATAGTCTAAAAGGATTTGGTCCAAAATTCCAATATATATCATCTGAAGAAGGCTGGAGTGTACAATGGCCAAAATGTTGTGGATATGACAAAGATGAGGACAACAGTCCAAACAACGTCAGTCAGTTATGTGCTATGCATGATACATGCTCAGATGATCATATATCTTTTGATACAGGACTGACGAGGCAGATTTTTCCCAGCAGTAGGTTGCCATTTCTTTCTGCGGTAGACCAATTGCTGTACTGCTATTTACCCATAACTGGGGGGAGAAGAAGAGGATTCTTATCTTTCCAAGGGTCTTAATACATAAGTGAATGTAATGGATTTGACTGGAATTTGAACTCGGCTCTCTGATTCCTCAATCTGTGCCACTATCCATTACTCCATCGTGCCTCCCTAAACAAACAATGTAAATAGTGTAAATAGTTACAATACCACATCTCAGAAATAAAGACAGGCATAATGAATCTATTGTTAGGTTAGCTGCTAAGAAAGTTGCTTCACTGTGTTGAGCTAGACAATTTTTCTCTTCAGAATCTATCTTGCATATCTATATGTCTACCATTCGTCCATGCTTTGAATGTTTCTGCCATATTTTATCCAATACTCCTGCTATATATATTAACATTTCTTGATAAAAATTCAAAGAAAAATTGCATTATTGGTTATAGACAATAGTTAATACTAGCTAATACAGGAAAACGGGAAATGTCTTATAATTTCCTGTATATATAAATCTTAATCAGTCTTACATATTTATAAGTCTACCATTCATCCATATTATGTATGTGTGTCTATAAGTGAAGTTTGGATTGGAATCCGGACAGCATAGTAAATATATAAAACAATGAACTAGTACTTTTACTGATGGAGTCATTTCGTTAACAAATTATAAAAAAAATACTTTTATGTATGTGCTAGTATCCATTGTTCTCTAATGCACAAATCATGTAATGTTCTATTATTAACTTTTCTTGTCCATATTTGGAGAAGCCCACTTAAATTTCTAAGCTTCTTCTTAGAGAGCTGAAGTATGGATGATCCAAAAATGAACAAAATTTTGATATTACTCACAGTAGTAAATTACATACCCAAATTTTAAAAGTTTGTCATATAACAGGCAACACTCTGATTTTTAAAAATAATAAACCAGAAATTAATGTAAATTTTCAGTTAATATGAACCAATTTTTGCTTATTACATTTTCTTTTATTCTATGCAATTCAAATTGCATGCTAATATTTCATTGTGGCACTGCCTCTCTTCCAGTGCTGTCAAATATGTGAAATCAGTCATTTTGATATGCATTATGTTCCAATTGCATGTCCCATCAGTCAGTAAAAAAAAAAAAGCTCTTTTAAGTATTTTATAATTTTCTATACATTATACTTCTAGAAAATATGAATAAAAGAAAGAACTTAGTTGATAATGAGAGTAATTTTTCTTTAAAAAGTGAGAAGAAAATCTATCGATTTAAAACAAAAACAATGATGCCATAAAAAAGAAATGCGTAGAGACAGCAATCCCAAATAGACAAAAATATTACACTCCATAAAGTTCCAGAAAAGAATGTTATAAACAATGGATGTAAAATGAAACAGAAAGATTTTACCAGTTTTTTTTTTGTAGTCTGCTAACCACTTTGAGAAAAAGAAACATTTCTGTAAAAGATATGGATACATTCATTCAGTCTACAGTCAAATCATACTGAAAACTCCAATTCTTGTTTGATCACTGAAGCTGATTGATTTATTTTTTTTACAGCTTATTAACATTCTGTAGGTTATTTAAAGCCACAAAATATTTTAAGATTATAAGATTTTTTTTTTTTGCTAATGATTTTTGCTCATACAAGTCCTACTAATTAACCGATAAGTGGAGAGTGGGGAAAAAAGTGGATTTATAGCTTTTCCAAGGTTATCTGCACATAGGTGAATATAACAAACATGACTAGAATTGGAAGTAGGCTCTCTAATTTCCAATTCTGATTTGTTACCCATTACACCAGCAACAAATCTAACCTTACAGTACCTGGTATTCCCAAGCAGCCACCCATCCAGCTACTGACCAGGCTCAACATTGCTTAACTTCAATGATCTTATGAGATCTGTGTTTCAACATGTCCATAAGCTCTGAAGTTGCATCAATCCTGGTCATTATTTAGATGAAGGACTGCTTGGGAACAGCAAGTACCTCCTACAATCCAAAATGTTTCTGCTTTAAATAACTGACAAAAATTTGATAAGCCATAAGAAGAAATTATTCAATTAATACATTCATCCATTGGTTAAAAACTGCAGTCAGAATAAACACCAATCAAAATTCTTTCTCATTTACACCAATCAAAATTCTTTCTCATTTACACCAATCAAAATTCTTTCTCATTTACACCAATCAAAATTCTTTCTCATTTACACCAATCAAAATTCTTTCTCATTTACACCAATCAAAATTCTTTCTCATTTACACCAATCAAAATTCTTTCTCATTTACACCAATCAAAATTCTTTCTCATTTACACCAATCAAAATTCTTTCTCATTTACACCAATCAAAATTCTTTCTCATTTACACCAATCAAAATTCTTTCTCATTTACACCAATCAAAATTCTTTCTCATTTACACCAATCAAAATTCTTTCTGAAGAAATAAAACATCAATTACATACTGTACTTATACACTAGTTCGTTACATGGGGATAACTACTACTTTTCTGTGCCTGGTCACTTCAGGATGTGGGCAATCATGGCTCTCCACAACTTCCTATCCTTTGTAATTCTAAGCAAATATTTGTCTCCTTATCACTCTCAGCTTCTGTTTTTCTGTCCATTTACACATGTTCATTAGGTAAGATATTTGATGTTTACTACTGTCCCTCATGCCTTTAGTATGTATTATCAATGTCATATTCTCCTAGCCCACTTTCCTCACTATGCATTTCAGGAATTTCAACTAACCCTTTTTGGTTCACAAGTCTCATTTTTATTTCATTTTTCCTTAAAACATCCTTGTTGTTCACAGGTTCAGTCTATGGTATTCTCAGCATCATTCTGTATAAAGACATCTCTGTTGTCTCTTAATCTGTGAAGAAATTGTTGAGCCTTCACTGCCATACAGGAGAACTGATATTACCTTGCAATTCAGTGGTCTTCTCATTGTTTCTAATGAAATTGTCCTGTTTCATAATATATATAATTTTCATTTGTACTCATAATTTAATCATCTGTAATTGTATATTTTTATAATGGAGTCATCAAGAAATTAGGGGTTGTTTAGGTGTTAGCCTTCTACTATTTTTATATTCCAATATTATTTTCATTTGCACTCATAATTTAATCACTTTTAATCACATCTCTACCATTCTTTCTGTTTTTAGTAGGGGACTAATATAGAGTTGTTTATGTGTTAGTCTTGTACTGGTAACCTGATCATCAGAGTAAAAGAGACAGAGTGTTTTATTTTTTTTATAAGTTGCATAGAAATATGGTATATAATTTTAGTACTGAAATCTACAAGACTTAATGTTATTTTTAAAAACATCTCATCTGAATTTTGTTTGATGGGCCATTTTAATCATTAGAAATGTTTCTGTTTTGACTAATTTACTTGTATTTGTTTTTCTTTTTTTTCTTTTTTATCTGTATTATTCCAGCCATACACTCTCTGGCCTTCTCTAGGTACATTTTATGTTCTACAATATTTTCATCTTCCCCTTAGAGAATAAGATTCCAACACATTCTAGAACACAAAAGATAACCAAGGAAGGTACACAGCTGAACCCCAAAACCATCCAAGAAAAGACATAGAAATTAGTACAATCCAACAAATGATTTCCATCCACCATTTTAAATCTTTGTTCTTACATGTACAGTCATATAGAAACCAATATTATGTGTTTCAGAGTTTTGGTTGATATCCCAATTATCTATCGACTTAATCTTGAATAATTCCCTTTGTAAGAGAAGGTTCCTGATCATCAGTTATAATGAATTTTTGATCAGATGCATCTAAAAAAAAATACGGAAATGAGAAATAATCTTATTACATTTGAGCTTTAAGTTGCATCAAACATGAAAAGAATGTTGGCAAAATGTTTAACGACAATTCTGTTATTAAATAAATTATTCAGATCACACATACGCTAAACAAAGCTTTGGCTTTGTTACTTTTTATTGTTTTTCTTGTGTTATTTGTCACTAGGATAAAATTTATTTACAGAACATATCAGATGGAAGAAATTATACATACAACTGTACTATTATTTTGTAACACTTGCTTTAATTTCTGACCACTGATAATCCCTTTCTTCCTGATTTCTAACCACACTAATAGATTGATTACTAAAACTTGGTCAAAATAATTTATGGAAATAAAAAAAAGGAAAATGCTAAGCAATAGTGCTTAATAATTAATTTAACTTTGTGTATATATATATATATATATATATATATATATATATATAAAGGAGGAGGTTATAGTAGTTCCAATGAGAGAAAAGTGTGTATACTAAAAAAAGAGAGAAACTGCAAATGTTTTTGGCTGTAATGTGGATTTATTAAAAAAATATTATGCTTTATTTTCCATAATTTTGCTATATATATATATATATATATATATATATATACACACACAAGTATAGGATTGGTGTATATGGAATAAATTCCAATAACCAAAAAATACTATTCTTAAAAGAGTGCGCAGTACAGAGTAGAGCAAATATAATTATTTATTTGAAAATTATAACATAAATATGTTATAAAATCACTACAAAAATAGCCATTTTGTTTCAACACTTCTGGTGTCTTATTAAGTGATGGTGTTGAATGTAGAATAAAGGGTTTTATAAGATTTCATTAAATACCCTTTATTATACATTCAACACCATCACTTGATAAAACACCAGAATTGTTGAAACAAAATGGCTATTTTTGTAGTGATTTTATAACATATTTACGTTGTAATTTTCAAATAGATAATATATATATATATATATATATATATATATATATATATATATATATAATCCAAATTTATATTCATAGCTTTAGGAATGACCTTCACAGCTTGTTTTTGATTAGACAAAGTAATTGATTTTACAATGTGTTAATATATTAATTTTGAAACATATCCAACACACATAAAGAGTGTGCTATTACAAATTCTTCCATTAGAAAAGGTTAAAATGTAAGTTTTGTAACCTTTACATACACTTTTGATGGTAATATTGGCGTAATTTTTTCTAATAGTGCAAAGGTAAGTATACACTTTCTTTAAATATGTAGTCAAATTTGTAATTAGTAATATTATAATTCAATATATCTATTCACATGTTACTAACTTAACCTATAAAGTAGTTGCCATGTGACAATATATGAAGTCCTTAGAAAAAATTAAACTTAAATATCCTTGTTTTATAAATCATGTCCAGTAAGGGTTCCTAAGTTTGCTGGCACATCAGGAAAGCTGAACTTTGGCACCCTTACAAATATATATTTTTCAACTTTAGTGCTGAAACATGAAAGCTATTGTGTAACAATTTTTAACATGCTTTTGTTTTAATCTCATATAATAAATAATATTATGATCTATTCTTTATTGAGCCATTTTTTAAAAAATTGAATGCTACAGAGTGGAATTATACTCTATTTGTTTTTATCCCATAACTATATATAAGTCTATTTTTCCATTTATTCTAATAGTGCATCATTGAAAATACCAGGTAAAGTAATTTCACCAGTACCGTATATAATTTAACCTGAAGGGGGCCATAGAATAATAAGAAACAAAATTTTATGAAGGGAGAAAAAAAAATCCTAGAAACTCAATTTATAACTAGTCCTCTCAAATATGAATTTTATTTGGGCTCCTGTATCTAATAAAATAAAAAAAAAGCTTTCTTGTTTACCCTCTTATTATGGAGATGTCATGATCAGAGCTGGCTCAAGATGCTAACAACTATGGCAGTCACCCAAGGCACCATCAAGGCCAAGGGTGCCATCATGCATTTGGGATCTTCCAAAACAAAAGCTCATAAAAACATACTTGTGGTTATCCATGACTAAAGACAGATTAAATTCTTTGGTTGTCAACAGAAAATGATCTTGTAAAGAAGATAAATGTAGAAAGTGTTGCTGTGAAAAGATTTGCAGATCTAATGTCAAGACAAAAATATTTTAGGGAGGATAATGTGTGTTTTCTTTAGCTAGTATTAAGTTGTATATTGTAATAAAATGGTTATTCTACATTTTCAGTTTTTCTCCTTGTAATAAAATGGTTATTCTACATTTTCAGTTTTTTATCCATATATATATATATATATATATATATATATGGGTAAAAGATATATATATATATATATATATATATATATATATATATATATATATACATGGGTAAAAGATATATATATATATATATCTTTTTGACAGAGTGGCCTGACGATTGCATATAGCATGAAACAGACTGTCGCCTCTAAGTTTTGACTTCTATGTTCACTTTTATATTTACACGCGCTCTATCTCTGATATCGAGCACTTTATCCCATAAATATAGCACACCTTAAGACTATATTTCTTCATACATATATATATATATATATATATATATATATATATGTGACTAAATATATATATATATATATATATATATATATATATAGCAGAGATAGAGCATATGTAAATATAACAGTCGATATTGATTTCTATACCCAGAGGTGACAGTCTGTTTCATGTTCAAACTCAATCATCATGCTTATACGGGATATATAAATAGATAGCTATATATAATCTCACCTCAACAATTAAAATTCTGTGTTTTTGCTTAATTAAATAGTTTGGTATAACACCAGCTGTCATTGTGCTCATGGTTTTCATGTTTTTCCTCTACTGTTGAAAACCTTTTATTATAGTGATTAAAAGAAATATATTAACTTTCTGTTTTAGGTTTTAATTTGTAAAATAATCCTGTCAATATCTGTGATTAATATTTGCAATGTCCTCTATTTTAATCACTGTTTATATATTAGTCTGCCAGAAGTTTTGCAATCAGCAAGAAATTTAAATAAATTTTGTTCTGAAATAAGCATAGTGAAACAGTAGATGTTGTTCAAGAGCTTGGCA